AATCTCCTAAGAAGACAGGCGGACAAATGTTTGCATCCTGGAAGAAGCAAAAACCATCAGCCTTGAAGCAATGCTCCTATGCCATCAACTCCGCTGGACTGGCCACATTGTCTGAATGCCCAATCACCATTTCCCAAAGCAGTTACTATACTCCCAACTCAAGAATGGTAATGTTAGTGGACAAGAAAAGAGATTTAAAGATGAGCATAAAGTCAACTTTAAAAACTGTGGCATAGACACCGAGAACTGGGAAACCCTGGCCACTGAGCACTCTAATTGGAGATCAATGCTGCAGAATTTGAAGAGGCACAAATAGAGGACAAAAGAGAGAAATGTGCCAAGAGGAATGCACATCAAGCAAACCCTGACCATGACCGCCTTCCACTTGGAAACAGATGTCTTCACTGTGGGAGAACATGCGGATCAAGATTAGGGCTCCACAGCCATCTATGGACCACCACCAAGACACTACACTTGGAGGACCTCAGGCTATGTGGGATCATCTAAGTAAGTAATTCAGTAGGATGAAAAATTAGAAGGCATGGTCATCAAGTTTGCAGGCAACACCAAATTGAGAGGGATAGCCAATATTCCAGAAGACAGGAGAAGAATTCAAAATGATCTTAACAGATTAGAGAGATGGGCCAAAACTAACAAAATGAAGTTCAACAGTGACAAATGCAAGATACTCCACTTAGGCAGAAAAAAATGAAATGCAAAGATACAGAATGGGGGATGCCTGGCTCGACAGCAGTAGGTTTGAAAAAGATCTTGGAATCCTCATGGACAAGTTAAACATGAGCCAACAATATTATGAGGCAGCTACAATAGTTAATGGGATTTTGTCCTGCATAAATAGGAGCATAGTGTCTAGATCCAGGGAAGTCATGCTACCCCTCTATTCTGCCTTGGTGAAACCACTCTTGGAATACTGTATCCAATTCTGGGCACCACAATTGAAGAGAGAAATTGACAAGCTGAAATGTGTCCAGAGGAGGGCAACTAAAAAGATCAAGGGGCTGGAGAACAAGCCCTATGAGGAGTAGCTTAAAGAACTGGGCATGTTTAACCTGCAAAAGAGAAGCTTGAGAGGAGACATGATGGCCATGTACAAATATGTGAGAGAAGTCATAGGGAGGAGGGAGCAAGCTTGTTTTCTCCTGCCCTAGAGACTGGGATGCGGAACAATGGCTTCAAACTACAGGAAAGGAGATTCCACCTGAACATTAGGAAGAACTTCCTCACTATGAGAGCTGCTCAGCAGTGGAACTCTCTGCACTGAAGTGTGGTAGAGGCTCCTTCTTTGGAGACTTTTAAGCAGAGGCTGGATGACCATCTGTTGGGGGTCCTTTGAATGTGATTTTCCTCTTTCTTGGCAGGGGATTGGGGTGAATGGCCCATGAGGTCTCTCCCAACTCTAAGATTCTATATGGAATCCTGGGACTTGTAGTCTGAGTTACTTGGAATTCTCTGGTCTATTTTCATGAATTACACTAGTCACAAGACTACAAATTCCAGGATTACATACAATGGAGCCAAAGCATTTAAAGTGATGTAGTTTGAACTGGATTATATTGTCAGTGTAGACACATGTAATGCAGATTGAACTGCGTTGAACTGGATTATATGAGTCTACACTGCCATCGAATCCAGTTCAATCTGTGTTTAATGGCAGTGTAGATGGGGTTACAGAGTAGTGTAGTGTGGACACACCTCTAAAAAAATACATGATATGCCTCAGTTACAATGGCTGGTAAGTAAAACAATGGTGGAATGACAGATTTTTTGCAAAAGGACTGCATATTGGAAGGGTTGTTGTAGGTTTTTCGTAGAAGCTTTCTCTCCTGACGTTTTGCTTGCATCTATGGCAAGCATTCTCAGAGGTAGTGAGGTCTATTAGCATATTACAAATCTTCATTTCTTATAAATTTCTCTTTTCAGGCTCTTGGACAGGCAGTTGGATGAGGAACTGTGAAAAATTTGTCACAACTGGCTGCCAAGGGATCTCTCCCAAATTTGAGCCCACAAATAAATCTAAATAATTAAAATAGAAATAGTATTACTTTACTTTACTTTATGTATATATTTAATGTTGCTGTTCATAGGAGGCACAGTGTTTGTGACCTATGTTGCTTCTTCTTGTTTTTTGTTATAAACAATGACAAAACAAGGTTTTTCACGAGCACTGGCAGTAAAAGCCATTTAGACACAATCAAATGCATTCCCATCTTTGAACAGAAGCAAAGGCTTTGTGATTCCAGAAGTTGAAAATGAGAGAATGACTCACACTGACCTTTAGCCTTTTTCTGTCTGGCAGAAGAACAAGGCTGAATTGCTGTGTGCACAATTAGTTCCAAGGCCTTTTGTGAGCAGTGAATCTCTTGGATCGCTAAGTTAATTTACTGCATTTGTCACCCAGGCAGACTCATCCTGAGAGAGAAATGGGAAAACGTCTTGCAAAGACAACTACAGAGTAAGATTTTGAAAGAATCAGTGAATGTCCAGAGCTGCAGATAGCATGCTTTGGCATAATATGTTCCATTGTTTTATTATTAACTAACAATGACTGTGAAGAAGATAAATCCATTAACTGTAGGAAGATAGAGAATTACAAGAATATAATCCCCATTCCCCACCCAACCCTTTGCATCTGGCAGTGACAGCAAGTGGTTGCCATCTTGTGGAAGAACTAGGAATTTAGTCAGAATACGACAGGCAAACATACATGAAATAATACAGAAGATATTAGAAGTAAAAATAGTTAAAACCAGAACACTTCCTGCTGGCAATATTAGAGACAGAACTGGAAAACAACAAAAACAAACTATTCAACTGCCTAGTGGCAGCAGCCAAAATATGCTATGCAAGATTATGGAGAACTAAGGAGATCCCGTCACAGGAACAATGGGTAATAAAGACAATAGACAATATGAATATGGACAAATTAACACAATTTGATGAATACGAATCAAAAGACGATGACAATAAAAACAGACTGGTCCCCAGTGAAGAACTTTTTAATTCAAGAAAAATTAAAATGGATGATCGACCTACAGTGAAAATGACATACAATCGTTCTTAATGAAGAGGGAGAAAGAGGGTCAGTGGATAAAGATTGATGATCTCAAAGAAGAACATAACAGAAGTGAAGATGATTGGAAGCCTTTACTTACAACCCACCTCCCCTAACCCCTACCCCTTCCCTATGTCCACTTCCCCTGTCCCCCACCTCCAAAGATACCCCCTTCCTCCAACACCCCAACTCCCCCCTCCCCTCCAACCTACCCTCTTCCCCAACCTTTTAAACCTTCATTTGTAATCAAACTCAATAAAAATATTTTTTAAAAAGAATATGTTCACACATTACTTAACTGCTGGAGCTTCCATAAAAACAAAATCTGTTTTTTGGAGGAGTAAATTGTTGCTGTGAAATAGTATAGGACTGTAAATATCAATTGGGATAATATAGTACAACCCCCCCCCCCCAATCCATGAAACCAATATCTATTGTTTCATTTATCCACAACCAACAAATATGGCCTCTCCAGGCATTTTCTAGATCCTCCAGCATAACCTTGTGGTATTCTTGGGTCAGATGTTCTTCATTTCAATAGAATTTGCTGTTATCTATGGTTTCATGTATTCACATGACATCCCGGAATGGGTCACCAGAATGCGAAGGTTATATTGCATATATTATTTTAAAAGGATTGCTGCCGAGCTATTTCTACATGCAATATACAAGTGTGTGTACACACTATGAACAGTGATCCGAATGTCTAAGAAAGGTACTGCTGGATGCCATACATCAAGCTATAATACATACACTGTGTTTGTTAATCCTAATTCCTATCATATGCATGATCACATAATAATATTTCCTATTCTCTTTCCACCCAGAAGTTCTCTCTCACACTCTCTGTGTTATTTTATTATATACATATTAAAGAAACAGACACCTTTAAGTAAATGTCTCACAAGGCAGTCCCATATAAGCTCCTGTTATATACTGTTCATGGAAAGAATGTGCTCTTTCACTGAACTGTGGATCCTTGTGTAGTATTAACCTTTTTTAAACCTTCTCTACTGTTTTCTAAACCATAGAACTGTTTTAGCCAAATTTAAAGATTGTTGTTGTTGTTTATTCATTCAGTCGCTTCCAACTCTTTGTGACCTCATGGACTGGCCCACGCCAGAGCTTCCTGTCGGCCGTCACAACCCCCAGCTCCTTCAGAGTCAAGCCAGTTACTTCAAGGATACTATCCATCCCTCTTGTCCTTGGTTGGCCCCTCTTCCTTTTTCCTTCCATTTTTCTCAGCATCATTGTCTTCTCTAAGCTTTCCTGTCTCCTCATGATGTGGGCAAAGTACTTCATCTTTCCCTCTGATATCCTTCCCATCAGTGAGTAGTTGGGCATCATTTCCTGGAGTATGGACTGGTTTGACCTTCTTGTGGTCCAAGGCACTCTCAGAATTTTCCTCCAGCACCACAGTTCAAAAGCATCTATCTTCCTTATCTCAGCCTTCCTTATGGTCCAGCTCTTACATCCATAGGTTACTATGGGCAATACAATTGCTTTAACTATGCAGATTTTCATTGCCGGTGTGATATCACTACTTTTCACTATTTTATTGAGATTGGTCATTGCTCTCCTCCCAAGAAGTAAAAGTCTTCTGATTTCCTGGCTGCAGTCTGCATCTACCAGTGATTTAATTTCATTGTTATGATACTTTAGGAATGTTCCCACCACCATCATCGTTGTCGTCATCGTCGTCATCATCATAATCATTATCATCCTATCTATTGTTCCTGATCTTGAAAATACATTCTGCTGCTATAAACTGATAATCCCTCATTCGTAAATAAATCGCAATTTGGAAATCTCAATTTTCTCACATTGTTTGCTTGTGGTGATAGTTTAGCATAAGATATGTTTAGTACTCTTGTCCCTGTGAATTGCTTTAAAACAGGTGATGGAGAATGCATCCATTAATGGAAAGTAAAGTTTTAAAAAATGCTGTTTAATTTTTTTATACAAACTAAAACACCAGAGGTCATTGAATCCTATATTAAATACATAAATTAAAAAATAACCATTCATAAAACTTTACATACAATAAGGATTCTCATCTACACGTTAATACATACAGTACATGTACATGGCCGCAGTGTTTATCAAAGGCTCATTCTGCCAAATAATTTACAGTTCTCTTCTGGAATTATAGACACAAAAATGGGAGCAAGTTATATACAGGGAGGTGCAGTGGAGAGAAAATGCAATACTTGTCCAAATTGCTGGATCTAAGCTCAGTGGGGCAAAAATGGGCTGGTCAGCTTAGTCCAACCGAGAGATAGCAGAGAAAAACATTTTGTGATTTATGATATTGTCACACTGACCTGAGGCTGAGACATTGGAAAGTTTACCATACTTATATTTAATCTATTTTGTGTGTCCTTTGATATGTCAAAAGAGAAAGTTTGTAATTGTGATTCCTGTGAGTAGTAATACTGCTGAACTGCACGCAAGGCTGGCTTTGGCCCAGTGTTTGTCACATGAAGCATTCCTCCCATACCTGCATTGACAAAAGGCTGAAGGATGTGATCTTTCTCAATACTCATGTGTCAGTGAAAGCCGCAGGGCACCACAAAGAAACACTTTTGAGATGCCAAATTGAATCATGAAGATGGGAAGAAGTATCTGATTCCATTTTGGGAAAAGACTCAGGGTTTTCAGCCAAACATCTTAGAATCTCTTTTGACATTTTGGTGAGTTTGGGATAGCTCCCCAAGCATTTGTGATCACCTAGGCTGAGCTGTTTATGTCCCAAGGACTCTGGTGGTGGCATGGGACAATGGTACCAGACCTGGCATCAAACTCACCACCAACTATTACTCATGTTGTCTTTCAACAACACATTATCAGTCTTAGAATTGGAAGTACACTTTTATAAGTACTAATAACATCCTACTATATACATTAGAGATAGATATATATATGTACAATAGTAAATGTATGTATTTGCTCATACATACTTAGCCTAAAGGTGACCTCATGTTGATCTCTAGAGGGTTTGCAGAGTCACTGTCAAGAAGTGGATATTAGGCACAGATTGCATTGCACTGAGGAGACAGAAAACCCCTCCAAAGTCTACAGAGTAAATTTGACAGACCAGTCCATGCTTCATGTAGCATACTTTTTTTAACCAAGCAGCTGGGCATTTCCTGTCCCCCTCCAAAGACTTAATCAAAGGATTGGCTGTATGTATTAGATAATGTGAGATGAACATGCATACACAAAGAACATATTACAATACCAAAGACATAGGTGAGAAAATGTTAAGTTTCTTCAGCATGCTAAGAATGCTGGGGAACATTGACTTAAGTAGCAGTCCCATCTTTCCCTGCCATTAAAAGGGTTGGGAATAGAATGAGAAGCCATGATAAATTCGTTGGTTATTTAACTGGGACTAGAAACGTGTTTTGTTATGTGATTAAAGACAACAAGCCACAGACCATCAAAGCAACCTCCTTGGCCAGTGTTTGAGACCTGTTGTGAAGGAATCCAAATTTGAGTTCCTCCATTTCCAGAATGCTAAAAAATAAATACATCAAACTGAATTTTACAGGCATTTAAATTACATGTTATCTGGCGATATCTGCCACAGAGCAGAAGAAAGGATTTACAATGGCATATACATGATTAATCTTATCAATAACATTAGACAGTCATTGTTACCTTGTTAGAAACAAGTTCATATTTAGACTGTTTTTTGATCTGATGCAGTGTTCAGAGAAATAATCAGAATTACCTGCGATAAGCATTACATGGGCATGAAAGGCAAAATTTCACTTTAAAGTGCATTAAAAGCACTATAAAGTGCACAAATCTTGGAAAAGTCATTTAATTTTAAAAGGTATCACACTTGAAAATGTGCTGTTTCGCCTTTTCTATGAGTGTTTAAATTTTTCAATTCTAAGCTCGTAAAAAATAACAAAAACAAAAAGCCAAAATTATTACTGTGTTTGATAGTATTTGTTTTCTATATGTGTAGCCTGAATAACCATTTGTTAATTTTAGGTCCTGGGGGCATAGTAAGAGAAATGTAGCTCCATGAGTCACACCTCTTGTACACTCCAAATATTACACCAGCACAATAGAGGGGATACATACAAGACTGTTGTAGGAATTCCCATTATGTTTCTTTGTGTATGTGTAGCTGGCAATGAAAATTGGAACTGATAAGATGAACAACACTTTCCATCATAAAACAGGAAATCTTTTCTCAATAGAAGATTGCTTAATTAAAGGCAAACAATTGCAGGACCACAAACAATTTGGACATACGGAGTAATTATAGGGCTGCCAACATATGTAATAAGAACAATCACCAGAAAAGTTTATCTCAGAAAGCTGCTTACTCCATTCAGCAATGACCGTAATTACTTTCACTGGAAAAAAAAAAGAAATAATAGACCACACATTTAGTTTGCCAACATAGCCACTTTCCAAGGGAGATTTCCCTGTTTTCTTCAAGTCACACACACATCTTTGCTGACATTGGCAAAGGCACCGCGGTGGTCTGGAGCTCTGTGACTCCTGTTGCGACAAACTAGTCTGACATAGATTGGGAGTGGAATGGTCTAAACACCAAGACAGAATCCAGGTATGATTCAAAGCAGCAATGCTTTGGATCTAGCCCCAGATATATTTCCCACGGAGATGGCCCTAAAGTCTTACAAGTGCCATTTTTTCACATTGGTAGTAAAAATGGAACCCATCTTAGGAGAAGAGTAGGATAAAAATGAAAGAAAACAAAATGAAATTTATAACATGCATACATTATTTAAGATTTTGCCAGCATTCAGGATTGTAAAAATTAGCTGCTAAAGCCAGTTGCCCTACCCTTACCCCCTCACTGTCTTCAGGTATGGCCAATCTTCATTGAGAAATGTAATTACATTAACAAAATCTATTTCTACCTCCATTAAAGGGGAACCTCAAGCCAAATGGTGTTCTGATAAACCTGTCCAAGGCATCTAGGAAAATGTATTCAAGCTCACCAATTTTTTCTTTGAATTTTCACATTACTTAGGGAGACTGATAATTATAAATAGATAGAAGTGTTCTATTTGCTATGTTTGCATTGCCTTGACTACTTTGCTTGCCCCTTTCTTTTGGATGCCTAAATAGCAGTTCTAAATGCTCAATGAAAGTTTTAATGTATTGCAATGCTAGAAATTTGGGGGCTGAACATTTTAGGGTAGCAGAATTTAGGTGGGGCAATGTCTTCATTTTGCCCCTCCTCCTTAACTCTAGCCCTGGATCTGAGGAAGTTGGACTTGGCAAAAATTCTACTTCTAAAGCTGTGCTGTACTTGGCAGTACTTGGCAGTACAGCATGGCCTCCTTAACTGTAGGACTGGTTTCTGTGGCTTCATTTATCCCTACCTGAAAAATATATCCTCTTTGGACATCTATTGGGTCCTCCAGTGCAACTCTATGATATTCTTATGCCAGAAGGCCTTCCTTTCAGTTATCTGCAGTTGTGTATATCCGTGTGAAATCCAGAAGCATATCTCCTATCGATACAAGGGATCATGTTTTATGTGCACTGTGGTAAATTATTCCTTTCCTCAACTGGATACTATTGTACTTAAAAACATTGCGTTTGTTTGCAAAACTTTGCATCTTAACAGTTCCTTCACAAAAACACAGAAATTTATGTATAAAGAGAAAATGAATATCAGCCCATCCAGTAACTAATAGAAAAATCTGACACACATACTGAAGACAAGGTGTCACATAAATTGCAGCATAAAATTATCTGGTAGCATTTTGGAATCCAGAAACAAAACAAGAACAAAGGAAATGGTTTGAAAGAAAATTACAGCACTATTCTGTAAGCAGACAGGCTTTATGTTCTTCTTGGTCCAAATTGACAGAATCTTTTTAATTTGTGGTGAAACAAAAAAAACAAACCCCGATTCTGTTTCAGTATCAAGGTCAGGATTTTTAAAAATGAGGTAATGGAATGTTACAGAAATCAAGACTGTTTTTGAGCTCCTTGCATGTGTGATAATGCTCATTGTGGTGTGAAGAACATCCATCCATACAAACCCTTTGGGAATGAGTTGAGATTTGACATTCACAATCTCTAGCTGACTTTTCACAGGATGCCATGTGACAATAGGCTCTCCTGAGTAAATTATGAAGCAGAGAAAGGAAACGGAAGCAAGTTGATGGAAGGATATGGGTCTTATTTCCAATTGAGATGTTGCAAACTGTACTCAATGGGAAATATAAACAGGAAGCCTATCCTAAATATTCCATGTGGAACCACAACACTGAAACTTCAATAAGTTTTTGTAATAGATACAACAAAACAGACACACAAAAGAAGATGGGTTATGAAAGAAAAGCTACTATGAATGACAGCTGATTCTCACTACCACTGATTGTTCTTGGTATTCTCTACAACTGTGCTACTCAACATGGTGGTCCATGGACCAGTGCCAGGATGCAAGCTATTGACTGCAAGTCCCCAAAAATGTCCAGGAGAGGAAAAGGCTGTAATTGGAATTGCCAAAGTGAGAAAAGGAGACAGTTCCTGTACCTTTAACAACTATGTGTGTGTCTTCAAGTTGCCTGAAGGGTTTTGGCAACCCTATAAGAATTTCATAGAGTTTTTCCTAAGCCAGAATAATTCAGAAGTGATTTTGCCAGTTCCTTTCTCTGAAAAATAGTCTAAGCACTTAGTATTTGTTGGCAGACTCCCATCCAAGGACAAATCAGGTCTGAGCCTGCTTCACTTCCAAGATCAGGTGGGATCTGGTGTCTTTTGGATATTTAGGACCAGCAATTGTGTAGAAAATGAAATTTCAGTAGGTTTTGATTATCACTCGTCCAGGTATGCTTAATCTGTATAACCATTAAAGGTAGAGGAACTATCTCCAGTTTTCACACTGACAATCCTAGCTGTAGTCAATGGGCATAAATCTGGTGCCGGTCCCTGGAAGACTAAGAAAAACACTACCTGTTCCACATATTGGTTAGTTGAAGAGGCACTGTTCTACAATGTATCCACAAAGCCATTATTCTGCATGAACACTTATGAGGTTTCACAGCAAACTGATTGGGGTTTTCCTCAGAATTCAAGATTATGTGGGAAGTTTCCTCTAAGGCTAAATCAGATGCAAAAAGCAACTTCCATCAACTACAACAATCCTTTCTCTTTGGTGCTGTCATGGAGGAAAGTGACACCTGTGGACACTATGCCTTTAGAGCTGTGTGATGATTTTAGATATTGTATTGCTTATAATCATCCACAGACACTCATGCTGGGTGAGACAGTTATCAAGAATACAAAAAAGGCCAAGGGAAGATAAGAATTACAGTCTGGGTAAGATATCAGAATAATGCTGCATCTCTTTACACCAGTTTCAGTTTTGTGATAAAAGCCTGCTGGAGTATAACCATCATTGAATCTGTTATCTCTAATGCTAAAAGTTGCATACCTTGCCAGTTCTTTGGCTGACCCATCAACAGAATCTCCCAGCACAGAATTATAACAGGGAGATAATGTGTGGTGCATTCATCCAGAATGCTAGTCAGACTATTTGCCCTGTATCTGAGTAATATGAATATAAACACAAAATCAACTGAAATGTTTTACAAAATGATGTTTCAGAGACCAAGGACCACACAAGTGAATGATTGACTGCTGGTGATGGTTCCTACCTAATTAGGCTAAATCCTGGAACATTTACAAATTTCTGCTAAAATAGATATTCCCATCAAAGCTGACTAATAAAAGGACCCTTAGAGGTTTGAATTTTCAAGATTTTGCTGTGACACACTTGGTCAAAATAAAATAATCTTTGCAATGCAAGAGGAAAGTAGTAGCGTGTATCTACTGGTAAGAGAAAGTGTTGTTCATCTTGTCATTGCTGCTTTCTCCTTCTTACTGATAGGAGGGCTATGACTAATATCAGGATTGGATCAGATAAATATAGGTCTGGTGCTGAGGAACTTGGTACGATAGATGGCAGGGCTGGGAAGCTGTGGTGTCTCCAACATTCAGAAATCAGTCATTTAAATATGTGAACGGTAAAGCCCATGATGAGTACCGAGCACTATGTAGCATAAATCTTAATATTGGCCATTGTTATTATTTATATTACTTCAGGAGAAAACAACCACAAGCAAATACTATGCTTGCTATATTTATATTTTGAGATTTACTTAAATTTTGCCAGTGTACCAATAAGTGAAAAACCCCTATAGTCTATAAAAGGGGAATACAATTGCAAAATGGAAGAGCAGGTCAGTTGGGACCCTTGGGAACAGAGCTGAGATTCTTCTAATGCTCAAAGACCAAAAGAGGCTCTATCTCTGCCTTCAGCACAAGGATGCCATTTGCTTCTGTGCAAGTTGCCAATCATCAGAACCTGCCCAAATACAGGCTAGCCATTCTAAGCAGGACTTTGCATGAGCAAGTGTTATTTCCACATGGAAAAAAATCTCATAAATCTGAGCGAAACCTACAGGCAAGTGGAAGATAAATGCTGCTTCAGGGCAAACCTTAATGAACAATACAGGCCAATTCTTAGCAGCAAGATATGTATTTGTCATGGGCAGGTGAGATAATAAAAGGATGTTCCTTGGGTTTGCTCATTTTGGTTCATGCAGCCGACTGAGAAAATAACCATGACAAGGGAAAACATATTGCATAAAATAAGTTCAACTCTACAATAAACAGAGATGAGTAGAGGAAGAAACTCTTAGAAGCTGAGGCCTGATCAGCAGGCATTTGCCTCCTCTCCGACATGACAGCTTCTTGGTCAGAGGACCTTCCGCCCCATTCCAAGTCCACCCAACGGCTAGTGAAATGAGTGTTCCATTCATGTAGAGTTCTTTACTTGACGTAACAAACATGTTCCATAGGTTGTCCTTAATGGAAAGGGCCCTGATGACAGGAAAAGGACAGATAAGGCTACAGCATTGTTAGGAATCCTCAAGCGCACTGTCAGCTGTTTTCTCTAGCTTGGTCCGCCTTGCTGGGTTACTGTTCCAATTGGATCAATCCCATTGTCCACCCATTATGAAAGAAAATCAGAATATGTTTCTCCCCTCGTTCACATTGCTGCTGTCATTGTTCCTGAGTTTAAAATCAGAGAGAAAAAGAGTCCCTGTATTATGAAAGCCCGACTTTCCAAACTGACCTTTAAAAAATGTCCTTGTCTTCTGAATACTTTTCTTTTGCTCTGTTCCCTTTACTATTGAAGACTTTCATGGGAAGTTGGTGTTTATGTTTAAAATAACCCCCCTGCACAGCAGGGATAGAGTGTTCATAGTCACTTTGGTTCCTTGCCTGACATACCTTGACTCAGTCTGCTCACTGTGGCTTCTTGCTGATTCTTTCTCTTTACAAAGAAGGAAAGAAAGGAAAATAAAAAGGGCAGGGGAATAATCCATGTGGTGTACGCTGATGAGATATTCTCCTCCTTACAGAATTTCATTAAGTGCAGCATATATTGTAGCTTTAGACAGGAACTGTCAAGTAACAAATCTGGAAAATGGCTTTAAACTACATGGTGGGTGTGGTCTTAGCTACGGAGTGTTGCTTTGTTGTGAAATGGTTGTAAACAGTGTTCTCTTCTTCATGGGTTTGGAAGCATCGGCCCTTCAGAGGACTTTTCTTTGTGGTCCATCACTCTATGGGGAAGAAAAGAGAAAAACATTCAAGGTAAAAGGAAACTTCATTAATTATACTGCATATACCTACTGAGAAATTATTCTATGGCTTCAAATAGAAAGTTTCTTACATATCTCATGATAAATGAGACTCTTTTGGCTTGCCTTGAGAGTTTGTGATCTCCATATAGATAGCACGTTCAACAGAATGGGAATCAGCAAACATCGGAACACATATAGGGCTGCACTGGATCATATCAAAAGCATATCTGGTCCAGCTTGTAGTTTCCAGAGTGGCCATCAAAAGTATACTACTTTTGTTATTGGATTTAAATATATCTGATGAGACAGAAGAAGATGGGCTTGTGTTTTGGCTGAACTGGTTTGAGGTGCCCGTGTGTGTATATGTATTGAGCGATTTGCAGTTCTTGTGCACCTGATTGAAGACAGTGAGGGCTTGCTAAAATACTAACTGGGATAAAGTGGAACTACCAAGCAGTAACTACTGTATATAAAGCTCCTTCCCCTGTTTCTGGAGCTTGGCAAATAGGAAAAACAGAATAGGCATTTGTGGAGCCGTTTCACAGGGGAATTTGTACATAGGTGAAAGAATGGTTAAGTGATCAGCAACATTTGTGCCCTGTGTGTCTTCTTGCTGAGTTTGTGCGGAATCACACATGCAGCTCAACAACATGCAGTCGATCTTTGGTATCCACTGGGTTTGGTTCCAGGACCTCCTGTGAATACTAAAATCTATAGATGCTCAGGTCCCATTATATACAATGCCATAGTAAAATGATGCCCCTTATACAGAATGGCAAAATTAATGAATGCTTTTTGGGAGTGTATTTTAAACCATAAGTTCTTGAATCTGTGGATACAGAAGGCCAACTATACAGGCACTTGATCTCCTTTGCATTGCTCTGTCTCATCTGGCGGTCTAGTCCCAGTTTTGGCTTTTCTTTTACTTGGCATCTAGAGCTGAAGAGACTATCTCTGCACCATCCATAGTTTGACAGGCATCTACTCTTTTCCTTGTCTTTGCCCCCTCTCATCAGCTTCTTTCAGTAGTCCTTCCCTGCCCTTCCATTCTCTTCTGCAGCTTCCAATCCCACCCCCTCTCTTAAGCTTCCACATTGATGTCTTAGCCCATTTAAATATCTCCAAGGCCATAATTTGCCATGCCTCTGCTACAGCACCTGACTAAAGGTATGGCTTCAGCCCACTGTGCCCAGTGAGCCACTGCTGCAGTTGATGCAATATTACAGCTAATTCACTATAACATGATACACTAAGACCACGAACCTGTCAGCTTTTATCAAGAAGAGTTGACAAAGGAACTCGATATAAGTTATTTATTTTATATTTATTAGAAGATCATAATATTTATATTTAGAAAAGGGTGGTGGTGATCCTTGAACCAGTCTTGGTGGTGGCCCCTTGCCTGTGGAACATGCTTCTCAGTGAAATTAGGTCAGCTACATCCCTCCTTTCTTTCAGGAAGAAGCTCAAAACACGGTTTTGGGACCAGACATTCGGATAGCAGGCTCTGACAGCACTCACAATGTTTTTGAGAACTGACCATGGGCAGACTTTGGACTGGGTTGTTGGTTGCTGAATCAGATTTAGATATGGCTACTTAGTTAATAATATTGTTTAAAATGGAGTTTAACCTAATGTTTTTACTAGGCCTGTCCGGTTTCGTTCGTTAATTCGTTAATTCGTTATTAATTCGTTATTTTTGGCATTTTTGAAGCGATATCAAAACAGTTTTCCAAACCCGGAAGGGTTTTAAAATATCGAACCGGCAGCCCCCATAGATTTAACGAGCTTCCGCTCGTTTCGTTAATGGGGTGGAGGCTGCTGGAGTGCTGGTGCCTGGGAGCCAATCAGGCGCTCCCAAGCAGTGCACTGTGGGTCCGTGGCTGTTTGTTTTTGATTGGCCGGCGAGCCCTTTCAAAGCGGCTCCGCGCGGCCGTAGCTCATTGCTGCAGAGGGCGAGGGAGTTTGCATTGGTTTGGCTTGGCTAATGGCTACTGCAACTGGATTGGATTCATTCCTTGCTGCTGTGAGTGCTGCTTGCTTCATTTGCTGTCTCCCGCCTGTGTTTGGTCCACATTTGGGCCATTTTTTGGTTAATTTTCCATTTAATTTTAAATATTATTTTAATATTATTTTTAATATTATTTTAATATTATTTTTAATATTATTTTAATATTATTCTTTAAAAATATTCTAAAAAAGAAAAGACTCTTCTGTTGGTGTTTTCTCTCATTTGCTGTCTCCTGCCTGTGTTTGGTCAACATTTGGGCCATTTTTTGGTTAATTTTCCATTTTAAAATATTTTTTAATATTATTTTAATATTTTTTAATATTATTTTAATATTATTCTTAAAAAATATTCTAAAAAAGAAAAGACTCTTCTGTTGGTGTTTTCTCTCATTTGCTGTCTCCTGCCTGTGTTTGGTCCACATTTGGGCCATTTTTTGGTTAATTTTCCATTTTAAAATATTTTTTAATATTATTTTAATATTATTCTTAAAAAAATACAAAAAATATTCTAAAAATTCGTTAATATTTACAAAATTTCGTAAATAACAAAACTTTTTTTTGGAAAGTTTTGTAAATATTTTAAATATCGAAACAAAAAAACACCCCAATTACAAATCGATTTTAGAAACAATTTTTTTCTTGATCAAACAGGCCTAGTTTTTACCTATTATGTAATGTTGTGTTTTGTATGTGTGGGCATCGAATTGATGCTGGCTGTAAGCTGCCCTGAGTCCCCCTTAATAATAAATACCACCATATTCATAGATTCAATGTCCTTGCTTGCAATGTCCATGCTCAAAAAATATCTACCACAAACCTAGGTCCTCCAGTGTAGTTCTATGGTATGCTTCTGACCCATGTAGAGTAAAAAAAACAAAAAAAAACAAGAATATCTTTTATTCCCTGCAGATGCAGGGGTTTTCTGTTTTTAATACTCTCAACCAGTGGTAGTATTGACTTCTCCAGAGTTGCTGCAGCTCCCAGCAACTCTTGCCATTAAAGCAGTGATGCAGCTCAACAACATATGGATGAATGCACAGTTATAATCCCTGCTCAAAATCTGTGAAATTGTTAAACGAATATATGGAGTCTTACTCCCCCTCCCCCCGCAGTTCTGTAATGTAAACCATTCAGGGTTGATTCTAGTTTACTAGATTCTAGTTTACTAGAGTTTGGTTTGAACAAAGGTACAGTTCAAATAAGTAAGTAAGTAAGTAAGTATGTTATTTAGAGGGCAGAGCTTAGAACATATATTCTGAACAAAGACAAACTTCTAAGGCCCCTTCTACACTGCCATATAAAATCCAGATTATCTGCTTTGAACTGGATTATATGGTGTTGTAGACTCATATAATCCAGTTCAAAGCAGATAATCAGGATTATATAGCAATGTACAAGGGGCTTAAAAAAGGTTCCCAACCTTTTTTTGACCAGAGACCACTTGACCAGGGACTACTTTGACCAGGAACCACTCTCCCACATTAGTACCAAAAGGGTTACAAATCATTTTTTGGTCAACTTTAGATTCAGCTTGGTTATTTGGGGTGCTGATTCAGAAAATTGTATTGGATAGACCACATAAGCTCTAGTTTCTGATACAGAACATTGCCATCCAGTAGTCTCAATCGGCTCACCCACAGAAAACCATATTTAACAAGCCTTGGCAGTATAAGAGGGTTTTGCAAGACCAGTTGCTCTTGTTGCAATGGTGTATTAATGGTGAGGCCATAGACCATATTTTAATTATTGTGGACCACTGGTGGTTCATGGACCACAGGTTGGGAACCACTGCTTTAGAAGTACTACACATTCATCATTGTCATTGCCATCACCACCATTATTTCTTATCCACCTTCTTCCTAATATCAATTGAATGACATTCATAACAAAAACATATTAAAATCAAATAATTAATTCTTTGAAATATATCATACAGGTGGACTCAGGAGCATGCTGAAATTAGCTGCAACTTTTTGTAGAAAACTCAGATTGGCCTACTAGGTCTGTGTAAATTATCTGAAAGATGCTTGAATTATCCTTAGGCTTTTCTGTCACTTTGATATTTATTGAAACTTAGATACGTACCTGGAAGAAAGGATGTAGATTTAGTCCTCCACATTTGTGGGTTTAACTTTTGCAGATTTGATGATTAATGGATTTGATTAATAAGATCTGCCTAGGGATTGCTTGGTCTGGGAGAATTTGCATCTCTCCAGAGGACCTTGGGATTTCTAAAGTGATATTCTCTCAGCTAAAAAAAATTAAAGTTCTTTTATTTACAATTTTCCCACTGTCTCAGGGGGTCATACACCCTTCTGTGACAATAAAAAGCCAATCGCATGTGTCTTTTATAAGGAAAAATAATGGAAATGCAGACTTACCTTGCGACAGGTACATTGACATCAAGGCCAAAGGATAAAGGCAAGAGAGAAGAACAAGAATAGAAAGAGGAACTGTAGAAGAAGAAAACAGTTTTAATGGATCATAATCAATGTTTTTAATAAGCTAAATGATAGGGATCTTTCCCGTTGGGGACCTGATTCAGTTGCAGTTGGATACAGATTTGAGCAGTAGTGAATCCTATTGAAACCAGTTGGGCTTATTTTTCAGGATTGAACTGTATAATAATTTCAGTAGTAAGTACACATCCAATAGATTTTTTTAAAAAAAATCTTGTGTGATTGCATAAATGTTAGTTTAATTAGAATACTATCTGTTGTGCAATATTATCTAGCAGTTTGACCTTCAGCAGAAAGAGGTCTGATATGATAAATAGGTGAATAATATTCTGATTTGCAGACCAGGAGGTACCTATTCATTTTATTCAAATAATTTTTGCAGAAAAGTATTTGTCTATTGAAATATTTACACCCCACAAGGATCTTAGAATGGCATACATTCTGTTGTTTGTTGTTATTATGTTGACTTGAAGTTGTTTATGACTTCTGGCAACCCTATGATAGAGTTTCCTTGGCAAGATTTATTCAGAGCTTTGCCATTACTTTCCTCTTAGGAGGCTGAGACATGTAAGTCCACCCAATGAGTGTCCATGGGTGAATGGAGATTTGAATTCTAGTCTCCCAGAGCCCTAGTTGAACATTCAAACCTGTACACCATGTTGGCTTTAACATGCCATAAGAGTATTTCGAATGAACTTTAACATTTCCTTCCTCTTATCTTGAGAGAGTATGACTTGCCCAAGGCCACCCAGTGGGTTTCCATGGCTGAACATGGATCTGAAACTGTCTCCCAGAGTCTAACATTCAGATCACTACGCCACACTTGCTCGTTCTGGTTTATACTAAAATAGTTCTATTAACAAAACGGAAAATCCTCTGATTTTTTATTACCATTAATGCACTGCAGCACCAGTGTCCTGATCATAATAGTGGATTCAGGCAAATACTTTAATTTCTGAAATCCAGTTTGCAAAATAAATAAATAAATAAATCATGCTGGCAGAATGATAGGATTACCACAGCCTGATGGTACAGAAATAACCCTTAAAACAGGAGCAGTCTTTGAATTCCAAATATAATGTTTAACTAAAACAGAAAGTCTTTTGCACTGAATCGGTTCCCTGAAACAGCTTGTGGTACAAGGCCATAAATGGCTTTTGATAGTGTTTTGCTTTGAAGTTTACATGAAGATTAAAGACTTCTTCACTTAATATAGAATCATAGAATCAAAAAAATCTCATGGGCCATCCAGTCCAAAAGAAACAAGAATGTATGTATGTGTATTTTATAACACTCTCAAAAAAGTAATATAAATCAGGATTATATGCTCTCTGATGGAGTAAATTGTCTGAGACTTTATAGCATTTAACAGGAATGTTATCAGCACATTATAAGTAAATGCAGATTATCTTGTCAACATAGAGAAATAAACAGTAGACTACAGATAATAAAGTCCATCYTYTCCWGGAGTCGSATTTCAGTGWAGGAATTCAAAAGTCTCTGTCTTTATCCTCAAAAGAATTCTTCTTTTGGCAACACAGTCTTAAGGAGTACTTMWTAGGCAACAGAGTCTTCCTTAGGTAACAAAATTTCRCTMSRRGGTCKCATAACYRG